AATAACAAACAATACTTCTATTTGATTATCAAAATAAAATGGTAAGTGATATAAACAAAGTATTTTTTCTCCTATCTCATCTACTAACATTTGTTTTTGTGCTTCATTGATAATTTTATTTGCTGAGTATGAAGATGAAAATGATACTCCAACATATTTTGTTCCTTCAATTGTTTGAATTAATCTAATTTGTGGTTGATTTAAGTGATGTCTTGTTCTTCCAAATTGTGTAATTCTTTTTGTTGGTATTAAAAATCTTTTTCTTGTTGTTTGATAATTCATAACAATGTGTTAATAAAATTTCTTCCTTAAAGAACTTATTAATAATGTTTTTTTCTTTTTACTTTCTTTCTTTTTGATTTGCAATTTTAATATCACTAAATAGTTTATTTCAATAAATTTTAATTTTATATTTACTTTCTGATTAATGATATTTTATTAATAAAATTATATTAAAATTTTTATAGAAAAATGAAACACCATAATTATATTTTCTTTTTAATTTCATGAAGAATAAAATTAATAGAAAAAATTAAAATAGAAGTGATGATATATTAATTCCATGTTAGAACTGATATAATGTGTTGATATTTGTATATATCTGATCTTTTTTAAATTTATATTAATAAATGAAACAAAAAATTGATGAAATAATAGTTATTTAAATTGACAATTTCGTTTCATGATCTCTGCAATAACCTTTCTTATAGGTTGGATATTTGTGAGAATACTCTCTATCAAATAAGGTTGAATAATATTGTACATTTCTTTAAACTAATTGATGAGAATTATTATTTTTTAAAGAAAATGATTTACAACAACAAACTAATTCATCTGATGAAATGGCTAATACCCTTGTTAACAAAGTCATGATGACTTCTTCAGGGAGGTATGTTGATGGAGAAATTGTTTGTATAAAAAGACTTAAAATATCTTTGGATTCTTCTATAATCATTGAAGTAATATCTGTTTGTCCTTTTGTTCCTGTTTCAAATAGTAATGAGATTAAAGCAATATATAATTTAGTATAATGTTTTTGAATTATATTATCTCTGATGACAATAGATGAATTATTAAGATAAAGATTTCTCCAAGTGTGTATTGTCTTAGTTAAACAATTGAATATACTTATTTCTGAACATGAAGAACATAATAATGCAGAACAAAGTAGATAAAAGTATTCGATAATTTCTTTATTAATTTCAATATCTATTTTAGCAAGAGAACTTAATGAAGGAATAATTAATTTGCATTGGTGAGAATTAAATTTTTCAATGCACCTATCACAATACTTATGTTGACAATATACACATTGTTTATTTAAACAATTAACTTTACATTTACATTCATAACATTCTTCTAGACTATAATTGTCATAAGTAATATTAGTTCTTTTTTTCTTTGGTGAATTATTAACTACTCCAATAAAGATATACTCTGATAATTGATTAATAAATTGAACAGCAATGTTTGGACTTTCTTGAAACTCTACTTCTAATAACTTAAAAATAACTTCTTGAATTTCTTTAGTATTTGTTAATAAAATAAATAATGAATAAGATACAAGTTCATTCTTCCATTTATTCATTTTCTTACTCATAAAAATAATAGGAAATATAGTCTTAATCCATTGTTGATCACGATTATTAAGTAATCTATTAATCCATAAATCACTTGTTATATCTTCAGAACATTCTTCAATAATTTTAAAGCATTCTTTTCCAATTGAAGACTCACTGATTTTTGATGCTACAACAGCAATCATTTGAAGAGATAATGTATTAGCTTTATTTTCTTTGATAAATTGAATGGCACATTGGT